GAATTATATAATTTACAAAATTTGACAGAGTAAATATACAGATTTTTTATTCTTCAGATAGTGTAATGATAAGCCAGCCGAGCTGCAATGAAGCCGAGATAACAACAGCAGTTTCGGCTCATCTAAAATATGCGCCCGACAGAAGAGGGGTTGGCGGAAGGGGCGGGTCTGGGACCAATTAAGTACAATGTACATATGTACAGTTTTTATTTGTTTATTACATGCCATATTTTATTATAATCTTTATATCCCATTTTAATTTCTTTTATCATCCATTTGTTTTTATTTTATTTTCTATGTGTGATGTCCACAAAATGTTAACTGTGCCATTGAGCAGTATTTTATATTGGTAATAGGCGCATTATAAATAAATAAATTATTATTATTATTATTATTACAGTACCAATTGCATTAAAATTACTTTCTCATTTTTAGCAATATCATTCATTACGATTACCCATTACATTGAAAGTAAATAATTACATTTTATTACTATTTAAAGATTGGTGCTAATTTAGCATTTAATCAATCAGATTTAAAGACAATAGTTTTACCATCTGATTGATTAAATGCTAAATTAGCACTAATCTTTAAATAGTAATAAAATTTAATAACATTAAATATGTTTCCTTGTTATATGCTTTTAAAACTCAAGTTATCACTGAATGCATAAGAGTATGGTTTTAATATATTTCTGTAAATCCTCTGTTTGATCTTTTATGAATGTATATTTAGTTAATCATAGTATATAGATCTATGCCTTATTTTATTTTAAACATGTTTCATTTATATAGTATAATGTGTATGGCTCTTGATCACTTCAAAAAATCTTGTGGACGCTCTAGAGGCCAAAGTTAATATGTAATTGACTTTAAATTTATACACAGTGTTTAATGTCATGAGACGAGGACGCCTATTGATTTTCAGCGATTTCCGATAATTACTGCCAGAGTTATGGCCCTTGATCACTTCAAAAAATCTTGTGGACGCTCTAGGGCCAAAGTTAATATCCGATTGACTTTAAATTTATATACTGTGTTTAAGGTCATGAGACGAAGAATCCTATTGATTTTCAGTGATTTCCTATAATTACTGCCAGAGTTATGGTACTTGATCACTTCAAAATATCTTGTGGATGCTCTAGAGGACAAAGTTAATATACGATTGACTTTAAATTTATACAGTGTTTAAGGTCTTGAGACAAACAAGTATACTGATTTTCAATGAATTTTGATAACTTTAACAGCTATATTCCATGATATTAAATGTTTCGTATACTAAACATTAGCATGAACAGAACTTTATAAAAACCAAACAAATTCTAATGATTTTCTGATAATTACTTCATGAGTTGTTACTCTTAATCAGATTTTAGTGTATTATAAATTTTTCATCACTGAAAGAAAGTAAAAATATGCGACAACTCTTGTTGACTGCTCGGACGATTTAGCTGCTGTGAGCGTATGTTTCGTTGCCTGGCAACCTATCTTATTTATTTGTGTATATATGCTTGATAACGACTTGTGAAATCTTGTTGAAACGTTGCAGTGAAATAAACCATAGTAATTGTTATTCCATAAAAGTGTGTTATTTGATCAGGTTCCAATTACTAAATGTCATTCAAAGAATGCACCATTAAATGTAATTGAAATGTAATTGACCATTACATGATTTTCGGAATGTAATTAATTACATTTCCATTACTCATTACTTTTGAAATCTTCCATTACTCATTACATGACCGTTACTTAAAATCTAATGATCAGATTCTATTACCTTTACCCATTACTGCAAAGTTATATGACTAGCATTAATATTGACTGCAATATAGTCGTTTGAATTGAATGTTTTGAAACTACGTACTGTTCTATGACTCACTGTTCTATCAATCGATACTGATTTTATATATCAGAAAGAAGCAATTAGTTTGGTTGTGATGGGGCACGATGACTTTGATTCTAATTGAGTCGGGCATTTAAGCCCCCACCCTTCCCCGCACACACACCTAATTTAACTTCCATCGTGCCCGTCCGCATATTCCCGTCTTCATTAGTCCAGTGGGGGCAGAACTGTAGGGAGTTCGGGTGGGACTTATACTGGGTTTTATACAACCTCAAAACAACAAATTCTGACGTCGTGACAACTTTTCGCCAACCACCACACAACGTTGCAAAACAAATTCTGACGTCGTGACAACTTTTCGTCAACCACCACTCAACGTTGCAAAACAAATTCTGACGTCGTGACAACTTTTCGTCAACCACCACACAACGTTGTGACAATGTTGCTTTGACGTCCGTACCACGTTGTCACAACTTTTCGTCAACCACCACACAACGTTGTGACAATGTTGCTTTGACGTCCGTACCACGTTGTCACAACTTTTCGTCAACCACCACACAACGTTGTGACAATGTTGCTTTGACGTCCGTACCACGTTGTCACAACTTTTCGTCAACCACCACACAACGTTGTGACAATGTTGCTTTGACGTCCGTACCACGTTGTCACAACTTTTCGTCAACCACCACACAACGTTGTGACAATGTTGCTTTGACGTCCGTACAACGTTGTCACAACTTTTCGTCAACCACCACACAACGTTGTGACAATGTTGCTTTGACGTCCGTACAACGTTGTCACAACGTAAGAGTTTGTTGCAAAACAACCTACAGCTGACTTATTTCAGACGTTGTGATACAACCTCTGAAAAACGTTGTCACAACGTTCTGTGCCCGCTGGGAATCATCTAAATTTCACATATAAAAAAATAATATAAAGTAGTTTTTAATTTTAAATCATTGAAGTAACTTTCTACACAAAATACAATTGATGATCCAATGTTCCTCTGATTTTTGAGCAATCCTGGCTGATAACGAAGTGTCCACCTTTCCGGAATTTGAACAGGGCACTACACGTGATGAGATTCCACTTGAATCGGACGAATCGGAAGAGGGACCTAAACGAGAGGAGCCTGCCTGTAGTTAGTATTTAAAAATGGAAATCATCGAAATTATATTTTCTACAGGGGCTCGCTGTGGCTAAGTGGGTAAGACGCTGCCTTAACAGGTTTACAATAGCCCTTTTCAATGTTAAATTTTAAGAGCACTGGAAGAACTGGACTTATATGATGTATAGTGTTAAAAAAGAACTGGAAAGTAGAGTCTTGTATAGCTGACACAGATTGAGTGTGTATAGTAGGTCAGTAATTGGGACGCGCCGCGCAGGCGGCAGAAATCTCGTCTGCTAGATACTGTGTAAAATCTTATCAGCTCGTAAATATAAGCTAAGATTTGTAATTGTCGTGACACCTTAAATACACTAATTAATATAAATGATTAGAAAACGATGAAGTAATTAATATTTGATTTTAAACTATACATTATACTATTCGTATTGACTTAAATTACCATTACTGAATATCAAAATAGCCAAAACATCTTTAACATTATGTACATACTATGTAACTTTGTGTAATTATATCTCGATTGAAGTTTCAAATTGAATGGCACCTTCTTTTAATACATATTTTAATTAACCTAATATAAATATATTTATGAATTAATGTATGGATCCATTGAATTATTGATTTATTATTTCATCAATGTGTTAATGTGTCAATGGTTTTGTATTTGGATTTTAAAAAATAAAATAAAAAAATAATGCTTTTAATTAATTAAGAATATTTTGTGCTTTTCCATCATTAAAATGTATGTACAGTGTATTATGATTATATTTTTATTGAATAAACATATTTACAAGAAAAAAAAAAGACCCTGGCTCGCTAGCATGGAGGTCGGGTGTTCGATCCCTGCATTGGCCGAGAAAGTTCATCCAGATTTTCCGGCGTGATTCTCCCTTGTCTGTGATGCAGGACAGCAGTCTAGTCGTTCGGATTGGACGAAAAACCAAGGTCCCATATACGAGTATGGCGTAGTGCCGCTGTCCGGGCAAAATTTCCCTCATAGCACACTGTATGGCGTATGTCCGTCTTCATTAGCCCAGTTCGGAGCAGAACAGTAGGACGTTAAACCCCATTTCATTTCATTTATATTTTGTACAGGTCATTTATAAACCGGGTCCACGAGTTCTTAAGTCGCTGACTCATTAACCAGCAGGTCCGGGTTCGATCTCGGTGTTGGGTGAGAAATGTCCATATAGGATTTATAAGTGGTGTAGCACGGATAGTGTGACAAACACGACTCGCTCCCGGTGTTGGTCGAGAACGTTCATCGAGATTTTCCGATGTGGTTTCCTTTCCCCTTGTCATTGCAGGACGTAAAAGATCCCATGACAGTTGGAATTCGATATAAAACTAGACCGTAGCGCCGCTGTCCGGGCAAAATTGCTTCATAGGACATTGCATGACGTATACCCGTTTTATTAGCCCTGTCAGAGCAGAACATTTTACTTGGTTAACCGCGGTGGCGAACAAACCCATTTAATTTCCTTGATAAGTTTGGAAAATGGTTCTTATTATTGAAAAGTTCATGAATAAATATATACGTCAATGTTTGATGGGTCGTCGCAAAAATACAAGTCCAAACCCAAATAATATGACACATTAAGGGCGTGGCTTATAAACATTCCATGGACGACTTTGATGTAAAAGGACCCAGACACGTACTTTTCAGTCTGATTCAAACACAAATCCTATTTCGTTTCGTTTTTTATAGTTCAAAATTTCCTTTTACTTGTCTTCACAACACTAGGATCTGGATGAGTTGTTATATTTAATCTCTATTTTAATCGGAATGTCTAACACATTCGAACCATGTATGTTTTTTGATTAAATATTGGACAGTTTTGAGATATCAATAAAGAAGAATAAATGCTTGCATTGTTTTAAAATATTGGACAGATTTGAGATATCAATAATGCAGAATAAGTATTTGCATTGTGTAAACAGTACATTTGTTAAACTAAACATACATCATGACGTCACATTAATAATGATGTCATGGTTTAAACAGTACATATTTTGTTAACTATTCCCCAGATTCAAAAGAAAATACATCCAAAACAGTTTTCTGTTAACACTGTGGGGTTCTTCAGAAGCAGATACGAGAATTAGAAGAGAAGCTGGATAAAGCCAACCATAAACTGGAAGCTAACCGAAACATTGATATACACGTCAATACCTACACAGGTATGTAGATATACCTACAGTGTTTTATCAAAATTCAGATTTTTCACTCAAAATTTAAAACACACCCTTGAACGCTAAGACCTTGAACAGGATCAACTGTTTGTTGCTAGTTAAGCTATGGTCCTGCTTAAGCTAGTTTTGTCCCGAATGAAAGCAATACTGATGTTTTGCTCCCCTGATGTAAATCTTGTTCCCCATTTAGGGAGCAATGGTGCCTCAGTAAAACATTGGCTCGCTAACCTGTGGGTCCCATGTTCGATCCCTGCGTTGTCCGAGAATGTTTATCGCGACTTTCCGGCGTGGTTCCTCCTTGCCAGTGGTGCAGGACAAAGGGACAACATATGGCCGGTCGGATTTTGACGAAACGCCGCGGTCCCGTGTACACATTGATGTGTACATGAAAGATCTCTTGGCAGTTGGAATTCGATATAAGAGTAGGCTGTAGAGCCAATGTCCGGGTAAAATTTCCCTCATACTACATGTGGCGTATGCCCGTCTTCATAAATCCAATCGTAGCAGAACAGTAGGACGTTAAACCACATTTCATTTTCGTTCTCCAGTTAAAGCGATACTTGTCAAATGTTTAACATGTTGAAATCTGGAGAGAGTCCTATAATCCTATATATAAACAAACATGTTTTGATTTTTTAGACAAGGTATTGCCACGAGCCGGTAGAGTTAATAAAAGAACAGCAGAGAAATATAAAGTAAGCAGGCCTATTTATAATTCGGCCGAATGGTTAGCTTGTTTCATTTGCAGTAAGCCCCCCCCCCCTCTAAAATCAATCATAAAAAAAACCTTTGTATACAATTTACAGGTTCAGCCATGTCGGACTAGATTACGCGACTCATAGTCATGGAAATATTTTTATGACGCGTTTAATCAATGACGTCACATATTTCTGACGTCAATGAAAATAATTCTCACACTTTTTTTTTTGTTAACAAAATAAATCATACAATTTAGATCTAAATTAAATTCAATTCGGAAAAACGAAATTATTTAACATTATTTGTATCACTTGAGAAACTTAATTATGAAGGTTTTATATTTAATTACAGGTAAGAAAATCTTTGGGGAAATCCAATCACGGGGAGTCAATGCACACCGTGTCGATAACGGTGTGAGCTGACTCCTTCAACTGCGCATGTGCTAAACGGTGATCATAGCCTACACCAATGCCCTGTTTCTCGAAATCTTAACTAAAGATAAAGTCCAAATATTAGTAGATACTTCAATTTTGATTGGCTAAGTACTCAAATCGATCTAATATTATCCAATCAAATTACTAAAATTTGGATTTTATCTTAGTTAAAATTTCGTGAAACAGGCCCCAGGAACTAACTCACACTGTACCGGTCTAAGAGACGAGAATTAAAATTAAAGTCAGTGGGTGAATCATTGGTGATCTGTGGCTGTTTAACTACAGTGACCTAAATCTAATTATAGCTGTTATAAGCTCCGACAGTTTAGGCGCCTACAGACTATAATTTAAGTAAATAAAATTGTACTAACAAAATGAAACTAGATTTGCCACGGCTAGATCTTTTTCTTAAGGCCAACTCAATTCTCGTCGAGGTCGCGGAGATGTAATAAGTAGAGCGCGTGAGATTGTAGGTTAGGGTTAGATTAAGTATTAGGGCTATGTCCAGGGTTCGGGTTAGGGTTGGGTTTAGCGTTAACCCTGTTTACATCTCGTGACCTTTGACCAAACTTGAAGTTGGCCTTATCAATTAGATTTAACTCTCTGTGCCTATCTTCCTATAAATTTTACTCGAAACGAAACATACTTTTATATAATTAATGTTGCAGTGTTTTCGGCACTATATCCTTCCGGTACATTTAACCAAATGTGAATATTTTTGGACATGGTAGGCCAACATTAGATAAATTCAATGACTTAATATTGAAAATGACTGAAAAGTAGATAAATTTCGTTTCGTGTGAAATTCTGTGATTCAAATTTGAATTTGCTAGAGTTCAACAAGGTCATTTCCTGATCGGTTTGCCGTGGAGTTTTTGGAAATCTCGTTAATAAATCAACAGTAAAAAAATATTTTGAAGAACAAAAATGGATATGATATGTAAGTTTAACGTGTTAGCAGAGTAGGTAACTGAAAATTATGAATTTTACTGTCAGCTGAAAGAAGCAAACCAGTTGTCAACATTTGGCTGCGTCGAGTTGTTTTGTTTAGATTTTGAGCGGATACCAAATCACCGGAATTCACTTTGCAAATATCAAAATTTGACCCCAAGGCCTACCTCTGTACATATATTTTGCATTAATATTAATAATAAATAATTGAAAAACACCGATGATCACCGGAATTCACTTTTAAAAACATATAAACACCGGAATTCACTTTTAAAAAATGGGGGGTTGGATGGCCGAATGGTTAGCACGTGCGCGCTGCGCTGTATCATACGGTCTGTCATTGAGTCAACTGGTGGGATTTCGATTCCCCGGTTGTACGTGACAAGGAGTAGGGTTGCTGTCCTACCTCGTGGGTTTTCTCCGGGTCCTCCGGTTTCCTCCCACTGCTAAAGACCCCTACGTGCAAGTGAATTATTGAAATAAAATTGAACCATGTGTTAGTCCCGAAATGACCTAGTTTGTGTCGAGTTGAGGTTAAACCCCATTTCTCTCTCTCTCTCTCTCTCTCTCTCTCTCACTTTCAGGGGGGTTGGATGGCTTAGTGGTTAGCACGTGCGCGCTGTATCATTAAGTCTGTCATTGAGTCATCTGGCGTGGTTTCGAATCCCCGGTTGTACGTGACAAGGAGTAGGGTCGCCTGTCCAACCTCATGGGTTTTGTCCGGGTCCTCTGGTTTCCTCCCACTGCTAATGACCCCTACGCGCAAGCGAATTATGGAAATAAAATTGAATCATGTGTTAGGCCCGAAATGACCTAGTTTGTGTCGAGTGGACGTTTAAACCCCATTCTCTCTCTCTCTCTCTCTCTCTCTCTCTCTCTCACTTTCAAAATATGAGAATTCGCCCACAAGCCCTTCCTGCTTACATATATTTTGCATTAATATTAATAATGAATTTCCTTAAATACACCAAAAATGACTACTACATACGCCTTTTAGATTTAACTTGTCTCTTTGTAAATTTCACATGAATGGTCAATTCGAGACTTACACATGGTTCAATTATATTTCAATAATTCACATGCGCGTATGGGTTTTTTGGGGAGGGGGCAGAGGAATCGGCTTACACTACATAAAGATCTGACCAGTTGTACTGGGAGGTCATGTCAGGTGTCATACGGGCGGCTTTTGACCCTATGAAAGATATTGATTAATCAATCAGCTTTAACGTTTCTAGGGGTTTACCCACAGTTCCGTGAAGATCACGCCAAGAACTCGCCGTAACAGACCGTTTCATTAGCTAATTTCTCACATCAACTAGAACGCCTGTTACATAACAACTCTTCCAGTGTAGTAAAGAAAAGAAAACAAAATTTTGTACTATTAAAAAACATGAAACAAAATATGATTTATAAAGAGCCGTTACCTTCAATGTGCCTACATATTTCTTGTAGCATATAGTCGATCATGACTCGTACTGGCTTTATATAACTTTTGGGAAATATTCCCCCTTATTTTTATTTTGTTTTTTATACGCCTACATTGAAATGTAGTCATATATTCAATTGTGTCACCCCCATTCGTCAATTCGTTGGTCCGGCGTCCACAATTGTTTGTGGACACTCTAGAGGCCAAAGTGAATATCCGATTGACATTAAATTTATACACAGTGTTTAAGGTCATGAGACGAAGAAGCCTATTGATTTTCAGCAATTTCTGATAATTACTGCCAGAGTTATGGCCTTTGATCACTTCAAAATATCTTGTGGATGCTCTAGAAGCTAAAGATGATATCCGATTGACTTCAAATTTACACTCAGTGTTCGAGGTCATGCGACGAAGAATCATATTGATTTTCAACATTTCTGATAATTACTGCCAAAGTTATGACCCTTGATCACTTTGAAAAATCTTGTGACTTTCTAGAGGCTAAAGTTATCATCGGATTGGCTTCAGTTTAAGGTCTTGAGATGAACAAGTATATTGATTTTCAATGAATTTTGATAACTTGAACAGCTAAATCCATGATATTAAATGTTTCGTATACTAAACGTTAGCATGGGGCAGAACTTTATACAAACAAATCAAATTCTAATGATTTTCTGATAATTACATGAATTGATGAGTTGTTGTTACTCTTAATTGGTTATTAGTGTATTATAATTGTTTCATTACTAAAAAATGTAAAAATATGCGACAACAATTGTTGACTGCCCGGATGATTTAGCTGCTGTGGGTTGCCTAGGGGGTTGGATCGCTGAATGGTTAGCGTGCGCGTGCTGTATCATAAGGTCTGTCATTGAGTCAGCTGGCGTGGTTTCGAGTCCCCAGTTGTACGTGACAAGGAGTAGGGTCGCCCGCCAACCTCGTGGGTTTTCTCCGTGTTCTCCTATTTCCTCCCACTGCTAAATACCCCTACGCGCAAGCCAATTATTGACATAAAATTAAACCATATGTTAGTCCCGAAATGACCTAGTTTGTGTCGAGTAGTAGTTAAACCCCAATTCTCTCTCTCTCTGTCTCTCTCTCCTCTCTGGACTTTCGGGGATCACGTGGGTAAGACGCTGTCTCGTTAGCCTGGAGGTCGGGTGTTCAATCCCTGCATTGGCCGAGAAAGTTCCCCCTTGTCAGTGATGCAGGACGGAGGGCCTGACAAAGACGGCTGTCTAGTCATGCGGATGGGACGAAAAACCGAGGTCCTGTGTATACATTGGAATGCACGTAAAAGATCCCTTGGCAGTTGGAATTCGATATAAAAGTAGGCGATAGTGCCACTGCCCGGGCAAAATTTCCCTCATAGCACACTGTATAGTGTATGCCCGTCTTCATTAGCCCAGCATAGGAGCAAAACAGTAGGACGTTAAACCCCATTTCATTTCATTTCTCTGGACTTTTACGGTCGACCTCCTGGATCCATTCACTCGATCTGACATGTACAGTTGTTGTGTGGTGCAGTAGCAGATATTGGACAGGTCAGTCGATTTGCACTGGCCAAGACAGTTAACATGGATTTTCCACAGGGTTCCCCCTAGTCACTGGTGCAGAATGGGACACTTGTCAGTCTGATTCCAAATCAGAGTAGGCCGCTGTCCGGACATAATTTCCTACATAGCACACCGTATGACATATGCCCATTTTAATTAGCCCAGTCGGAACAGAACAGTAGGACATTAATCTTGATTTCATTTCAAACATTTAGAAATATTTTTTTCTCTATTTTAGATAAAACAAACTGAACAAGTTGGATCAGGAAAGACTACCACAATGCCTAGAAGAAAAAGGAGCAAATGGATTAAAAATTTACAACAACATTGGCGTAAATGGCGTGATAGCATTGCAGATAAGTCCCTACTTGATTCACCAAATGAACCCCTTCCTGATTCAACAAATGAACCCCTTCCTGGATCACAAGATCAACCTGGATCACGAGTTGAACCCCTTCCGGGATCAATAGATGAACCCTTTCCTGGATCACGAGATGAACCCCTTCCGGGATCACCGGATCAACCCCGTCCTGCTTCAAGAGATCAACTGGTATGTTTGATATCTACATGTAAGCTTATCTACAAAAAAAGAAAAGCAGTTCATGTTTTTTTTTTGTTGTATATTTTTTTTTT